CTCTGTAAAGAACAATCTTGTAAGATTAAGTTTTGTGTCTTGCTGGAATTTTGTTAATTTATATTGGTGTTGTCGACTTCTTTTCCATGTAAGCCAGTCAGGTGATTAATTTGTATCATGTGACAGTGCTCCTCACATAGAACAGGCAAAAAGTCCTTCCGCATCAGGGCATGGCAGTTCAGTCATCTACAGAAGGTCCCAGTCACCAGCTTTCTCTCTTCCCTCTAGAGCATGGATTCCCTTCTCTAAAGACTCCAAGAACCCCCAACACCTGTTCTGTGGGTGCAAGAGGGCACTCCTTCCTATTACCCAGGTTGAGGAGCAGCCTCTGGAAGTTGGTCCCGTGTTACCATCCTGACCACAAATTTCTTTAGGTTACAAAGCAGAAGTATGTTTGCATTTCATTGGTATTGATCAGTTCAAGATCTGGCCACTTGGTAGGGATTCTTCTTGACTTGTTTTCTGTTATTGTCACTCCTAGCAGATGATGTAATATCTTTGCAAATTCCCATCACTGATACTTATATGAAACAAAGCACCTGTCTGTCTGTGAAACTTGAAAAACAGGTAGGTAGTGAACTCAATTTTGTCAACTCACTAATTTTTCTCTTCCTGCCGTTTTGTGGTCCTCCTTTCCTATGTTAGATAGCCTTGTTCTCTTTTTCCCAGGTGATTCTCTTCCCATGAGACTTGCCCCTTGGTATTTAGGTTATACCAGTTTTCTCACCATTATTGATAATAATATAAACTTCTTCACAAGAACTGTATTCTTGGCCTGGGAGTGTTGCTCAGTGGTAGAGCACTTGCCTAGCATGCACTAAGTCCTTGGTTTGAACCTCAGTACCCACCCACCCCCAAATATATATGGGGGTTATATGTTTGAAATAGCTTTCTCAGAAATGAATTATTGCATTGAAGTGGATGACCATTTTATACTGTGCGCGTGTATGTTTTGCATAAAGTTTTTCCTAAAACAAAGAATTATTTTAAAATATTTTTAGCAAATTCTTAATGTACCCATGTCTCCATAGCCCCATCAACATGATCACTTTTATTTTTGCCACTTTAATAGATACTTAAGTGGGCTGGGGCTTTAGCTCAGTGGCACCGTGCTGGCCTCATAAGTGCAAGGTCCCGAGTTTGATCCCCGGTGCAAAAAAAAAGATACCTAAAACAGTTAGGGTTAGCTAAATAAGAGTTATGCTTTTAATTGTCCATTGTTTATAAGCCTGGATATTATCACGTTTTGATTTACTGTTTGCACTTTCTATGTATAAAATGAGCTTTTCTCCTTTGAGTACTGATTAAATATAATAGATAGGAGGGCTGGGGATTTAGCTCAGTGGTTTCACCGCCTGGTGTGCAAGCGCAAGGACCGGAGTTCGATCCCCGGTACCAAAAAAAAAAAAAAAGTAAACAAAATATAATAGATAGGAATTGGCCTTATAGGATATTATATTCATTTAATTACTTTCCATTTTGTTAAACATTGTAGCATTATGTATTTAAGCACATCCTCTGAGTAGGTATAAATTTTCTTCCCCTTACAACTTGGATAATTTTTTGTTTTATTCTACTATTTGTTACATATTTAATGCCTTGACTTATGTATGCAATGGAATGAGAATAACTCCCATACAGTTTTCTAGATTTCTAATGGTCATTAACTAATGACTCTTCCTGTTCAATATAGTTTCAAGTCTGATAGGATAAATCTACTATTATATCAGGGTACATGTATTTGAAATTCTTGCCTACTTTGTAAATGAATTCTGATCTCAGTTTGTCAGGTTTCAAAAACTACAGGAATTTTAAATCAGTGTTATATTAAAGCCTTTTCTTTTTTCCTCTTCTTTTTTTTTTTTTTACTAGGGAAAGGTTTATTTAGATCAGAGTTTGTAGAGGTTTCAGTCCATAATTGGCTGGCTCCAAGGCAAGGTGACACATGGCAGAGGGGTACCAGTTCACGGAGGTGGAAGACAACAAAAGTAACAAGGGCTCTTTTTTTCTTGGGAAGTGTTTTCTTGTTTTGTTTTGTTTTACTTATTGCACACAGTACTGTGAATTGCACCCAGGGTGCTCTTACCACTGAGCCACATCAACAGCCCGTTCTTATTTTGAGACAAGGTCTCACTAAGTTGCCCAGGTAAGACTTGAACTTGCAAGCCTCCTGCCTCTGCCTCCTTCTCTGCTAGGATTACGGGTGTGTGTTACCTTTATTTAGTGTTCTCAGTGAGGGAGTAGGTGTTTCTTTCCTGTTATTCACATCTTTTATTCATCCTATATTCACTATTTATTTTTCTTAAATCTTTAATATCCTGAGCTGAATTGCTTCACACATTTCAAATATTTTGTTACTTTTGTAAATCATCTTTGTCTTTACGGGGATTTCCACATTAATGGCCCTAATAATAGATGGGAATTCAATTGATTTTTTTTTTTCTCATAGCCTGCAGCTTTTCTCAATTCATTTATTATTGCTGGTGTTTTGTTGTTGATTGCCTAGGATTTTCATCATGCTGTACACAGAGATGCTATTTTTATTTTTTCTTTTCTGGTGTATTATTTATCTAATCATTTTCCTCTGGTATTGATTGTTAACCTTTCCAGCAGTGTATCTTGTAGAAGGATAGACCACAGAGGTCTTTTGATGTTAGGGTTTAAAAAGAAACTGACTCTAGTGCTTTGCCAACCATAATGATAGTACTTTATAATTTTACAATAAAAGTAATATGTAGTTATCCATATTCAACTTTTTACAACAAATACTTAGCTTAAGTAAAGAAGAGCTGTCACTTTCCTCTTGTAACATTTCTAAATTTTATCTACTCCTGAGTAATCCTTATCTTGATCACCACAGTTTTCTCCCCAAAACACTCTTCACTCTCAGAAATAGTTTCTGATTGGAATAGTTTTACCCTGTCCTGCCAAGTGTATTTTGTGGTGACCCTCAGAGCTTGTTATTTTAACTCCACATCACATAAATTTTAATTTTAAAATGATTTTAGGGCCGGTGATTTAGCTCAGTGGTTCTGCTGCCTGCCTCGCAAGCGCAAGGACCCAAGTTTGATCCCCGGTACCAAAAAAAAATGATTTTAGATTCCTAGGAATTTGCAAAACTAGTACCAAGAGGTGCTGCGAACCCTTAACCTGCTTTCAACCAGTGGAAACATCTTGCAGGATATACACTTTTGCTAGGTGTGGTGGCACTCACCTATTATCTCAGCACTCAGGAGGCTGAGGCAGGATGATTGCCATGAGTTCAAGGCCAGTCTTGGCTACTTGATGAGTTCAAGCTCAATCTGGGCTATGTAGCGAGACCCTGTCTCAAAAAAAAAGGAAAAATAGGATATATACTTTTGATGCTCCCTAGAAAGCTCTGGATTTTTGGTATGTCCTTAGCCCATGCTGTACTTGTACAATAATTTAGGCAACAGGATTAAATAATGAGATTTTTGTCCTTGTTTTGCCATTATCACTTTATTATAAAGGCACTTATGCCATCTCAGCTGTAATGTCTTTGTAAAATGAAGGAGGCCCAGGGATTTAGTTCAGTGGTTCCGCCCCCTGCCTGGTGAGTTTGATCCCTGGTACCAAAAATAAATAAATAAATAAAATAAAATGAAGGATTCGGGCTAGATCCAGCGGCACACACCTATAATCCTAGTTACTTGGTTTTTGGTACTGGGGATCAAACTCCGGACCTTGTGCTTTCGAGGCAGGCAGCAGAACCACTGAGCTAAATCCCCGACCCTAATCTTAGTTCCTTGGAAGGCTGAGGGAGGAGGATCTCAAGTTGGTGGCAAGCCAGGGCAGTTCAGCAAGTCTGGAAACAAAACTACAAAAGACTGGGCATGGTAGCGAATGCTTGTAATCCTAGCACTCTGAAAGACTGAGGCAAGAGGATTGCAAATTGCAGCCCAGTTTTGGCAGCCTAGTGACTTAGTGAGACTGTGCCTCAAAAAAGAGCTGAGGAAGTAGTTCAATGTGAAGCTCCTGGGTTTGATCCTCAATAACACACACACACACACACACACACACACACACCCCAAAAAGTAGATTTAAGAGCAGAACAACCAGACAAGGTGGTGCATACCTGTAATCTCAGCTGTTCAAGGTCAGCCTGGGCGACATAGTGAGACCCCCCAGCTCAAATAAATAAATAACTCCCTATGATGAGTGTGATCATTATATATATCTAAAATATACCAATAAACTTAATAAAAAATAAGACAAAACCAAAAAAACCTTAAGATGTCATTTTTCATTATCACTAGTGCTACTTATGTAATTCTGACAACTTATTATGCATTAATGTGAGTTGTACTTGTGATCTTCACTAGAGATATATGTCACTAGAGATATGTGTCTTTAATTTCTGAAATTACTGGGATGAAGAGCACTGTCAATTTTTGTATTAATTTGTTTCAGTACTGCATGCCTGACTATTTTACATGATGTATCTGAATGAAATGATCAGTTACATGAAGAATATGTATCAGTATAGATCTATGATGATTGTTTTATGGACAAAAAAAAAAAATCCCAACCTAGAAGAAGCATTGCAAAATTGCCTGTAGGATAAACCTTAGTCTGAGCAATCATTGTCACCTGGGAGAACTTCTGTGTTCTCCGTCTCCTTCCCATAAATGCTTGTTCCACTTAAATTCTCTTGCACACAACCTTTTTGAATTTTCCATTTCCTTTCATTTAATTGCCAGGCTGGAGTCCTGCCTTACTTGTGCAGTTTTTGGCTGCATCGGCTTTGGGATCAGCAGCTGGTCCCTGCTCTCCTCTCACCAACATAAGAAAGCTGGAAATTGCTGAGTTATAAAGTAATACAGAAAGGGGCAGTGCTCCATCCATGATGAAGAATGCACGATTAAGTCATACTAACAGGTTTTTTTTCTCCTTCCCTTTGCTCTATCCGTTCAAATTGCTGATTTTCTCACACCTGATGATGCTTCTCTTACATGCCCGTCCTTGATATTTCTTCGAAGTTTTGTGCACCGAGGGCGGCCTGAGCCTTTGGATCTTCATTTGGGCATGTTCCTGCCCACTTTGCTTCACCAGGCCACCGCAGAGCAGCAGGAGCGCTTCTTCATGCCCGCCTGGAATTTGGAGATCACTGGCACTTATGCCCAGACAGAGATGGGTCATGGTACAGTGCGTTCAGTCTACCTTCTAGGTGGGGCGGGCTCCTGCCAGCTGGGCAGGTATGGAGTGCTCACTGCATGCTAGTGGGCACCTCAGCATACTATGGTCTGTTTAAATGAGCTGGGAGCATAGATGTTGCTTTGGTCAGTGGAAATTCAAAATTATGTTATCACAGTGATTTGCTAATTATTTTTTTCATGATTCTCCTTCAAAAGGTCGAGAAGGACATGTCAGGCCATATGTACCAAATGAGTATTTGCATTCACACAAGTCGTATACCATCTGTACACATAGAATTGGATGCATCTATTTTCTTCATTACTGATTACTCTTGATACTCTTTGACTTGCCTAAGACAAACAGATAGCATGTTATAATCAAAATGTGTAGCATCTTGTGCCTATTTGTATCCTGATTGAGTAAATTCATAAAAGTTTCTTTCATTAAAATTTTTTTTTTTGGTAGCAGAGATTGTACTCGGGACCTTGCGCTTGCGAGGCAGGCAGTGGAACCACTGAGCTAAATCCCCGGCCCTCTTTTTTTTTTTTTTTTTTTGGTACTGTGGATCACACTTGGGTCCTTGAGCCTGCAAGGCAGGTGGCAGAACTACTGAGGTAAATCCCCAGCCCTCCCTGGCCCTCTTTTATTAAATTAAAAAAAATTTTTTGTCGTGGTGTTGGGGATTGAACCTAGAGCCCCTTGCATGCTAGGCAAGCACTCTAATAATTGAGCCATACCCAATCCCTTAAAAAAGTTCTGAAGGTGCCACAGCCAGAGGTTAGAAAAATTAAGATTGGCTTCAAAGTCTATACATCTAGCACCTTTCATTTTTCCTGCCACTTAACATCTGCCTTTTTTCATGAACCTAGAGAGGTTGTCAGTGGTAGCTGTTGCTCTTAGTCCTCAGTTCCCAAGTTGGAATCTCTCTTGTTTGCCATCCATTTACTTCTGCCTTCTTTTTTTTCTGCTCTGAGGTTTCAGAAAATCTAGTATATATTTGTTTTGCCACTTGCTCCTCAATTCCGTACAACTGCTGCTTATTCCATGCTGAATAGTATTTTAAGGGATTTTTACAAGACTCAAAAGTAAAATACTAATCTGTTCAGTTGTGCATTTGAAAACACTTTGTCCTTATCTGTTCTGTTGGATGTTTTATCTTTTTCTGTAAAAGCTTCTTTGGTGAAAAGAATCTTAAGTGTCTGGGGTTTTTTATTCCTACTCGGGAAGGCTGTAGATTGCACATAAACTGGCCATTTCTGTCACTCAACTTAGAAGTTTCTAAATGTTTCAAAGTTTTAAGTGTTCGGTGAAGTCTAGCATTATCTAAGTAGTTTGGTAAAAGTCTTCAGCATTTGCTTCAGTATAGTATTATTAATGCCACCAAGAACTGGCATATTTATATAAGGGTTTAAAACAAAAGTCCCCTTCCATCTCCAGTGAACACATGAAACTGGGAATTCTTCCTCATCATGTTCATGAGTGAGCTGGGACCAAGTTAGGGTCTCACAGTAGGAATCTGTGGGGTAAAATCTTTAGAAGAATTTTTAAGTTATTCTTCCAAGTCTTTTCCCTTATAAGTTCTAATTTTCCATTCTAGCAATCATTCTGAAGTAAATTCTCATTTTAAAAAGTTTTAACTAAAGTCTCTTCCTGCACATTATTTTACTCTCAGGAGTGCAGAACTCTAAAGTGTTGAGTTGGTGTGGTAAACATAGCCCCCGGGAGTTGAAATTGACACGCTTGAAATTTAGAGATAGTCTGGGCATAAAAGGACAGTCAACTTCCCTATTAGGTTATAATACATTTTCTTTTGATCTAAATAAATGTTATAAATCCACAAGTCAGATGTAGGCATAGAATGTGTATGACACATGCTTTCAGCCTAATGGGAAACTATTTGATACTATAGAAAATTAGGTGTCTTGATTGCCAGCCATTTACAGCTCATATACAAATGAATTGTTAGATTTTTGTTTTTCTCTGAGATATTAGAGTTTAAAGGACTGGGCAGGACATTTTTACTTTGCCTGTATTTTTTCCCCATGTTTTATCTGAGGTAAATGTAATTTATTTCCTTAGGAACTCATCTTCGAGGCTTGGAAACCACTGCCACATATGATCCCAAAACCCAAGAGTTCATTATGAACAGTCCTACGGTGACCTCCATTAAGTGGTGGCCTGGTGGGCGTAAGTGGATTTTTAAACATTTGTTGGTGTTGGATGTTTCACACATATGGGATTGTATTTACATGTAAAGTGAATCATTTTGAAATAGAAATACTGAAGTCTTGAACTATTCTAAGCTATTTCACCTCCTCTTGTAATACACGTTATATATCATATATATTTATACATCTTATACATCTTGCAGAGCACAGAAACGATGTCTATCTTATGCTACTTTTTTTTTTCTTTTGGTACCAGGGATTGAACTCGGGTCCTTGCGCTTGCGCAGCAGGCAGCAAAACCACTGAGCTAAGTCCCTGGCCCTCTTATGCTACTTTTCTCACATTTTAATCAGATACTCCCTTGTATTACCATCACTTCCACAGTCTTCATTTAAAATAGCAATAGTTCCTATTTGTCATTTCCATCTTGTCAAACATTTGAATTGTTTTCAAATTCTGATTATAAATAGCTTTGACATGAAAATTTTTAGAGGATCTTTTTTCATCAAGTTGTTGTCATAGGATATATATTTCAGATGGAGTTACTAATTATTATATATTTTTATTATGCAACATGACTTTTTTTTTTTTTGGTACCGGGGATCGAACTCGGGACCTTGTGCTTTCAAGGCAGGTGCTGGAACCACTGAGCTAAATCTCTAGCCCTATAACATGACACTTTGATTTTAAAAAACTGGCATGCAAAAAAGATAAATCATCTTGGATGTACTAACCAAAATACCACCTGTCCTGTAGAACTTGCTGCAGTGATGGAATATTTTCTATTTTTGCTTTACTGGGTGGTAGACCCTAGTCACCTGTAGCTATTGGGTAGGTGAAATATTGGTAGTTGAATGGAGAACTGAACTATTTACAATATTAGTCAAATTTAATGTGGGTATTGGCTGTGGTTTTGTGGTAGTTTTTGTTTGTTTTTTGGTTTGGTTTTGTTTGTTTGGATTTTTTTTGCAGTACTGGGGATCGAACTCAGGACCTTATGCTTGCAAGGCAGGCATTGGCTGTGGTTTTGCACAGTACTGCCTTAAGGAACAAAAAGAAAGTAATTTAAATTAGTAAGTTTTTTACATTGTTTTAGATTTTGATTTTTTTTTGAGATAGTCTCACTATGTAGTTCAGGCTAGTCTTGACCTCACTGTAGTCCTCCTGCCTCAGCCTCGCAAGTGCTGGGATTACAAGTTTTCACCACCACACCCAGCTTTCTAAATTAGCATTCTTACTGCTTTGTTTTTTTGCTTTTGTTTTTTAGCACTCTTATTGTTACCCCAAATTTTTCTTTATGAAAGTGCTAGAACAAATACTATAGCTATCTTTTTAAATAGTTTTGCCAAAATTCAATAAACTTTAATAACTATGTTCTTAAGTGACTTGTCTAGAAGCTAGAGTAAGACTGTCATAAAAAAGCCTTTCCTAGCACATTCTTGCTCTAGCAATATGCTTTTGTCTACTCTTCTGTTTCCACCCATTAAAAATGTAAAAACATCTGCTCACCTCTTTATCCTGTTGTCTTTTATATTGCAGTTGGGAAAACTTCAAATCACGCAGTAGTTCTTGCCCAACTCATTACTCAGGGGAAGTGCTATGGATTACATGCTTTCATTGTACCTATTCGTGAAATGGGGACTCACAGGCCCTTCCCAGGTAAGGATTGTCATCTAAGGTGAGGTAAAAATTAAACTGAGCATTTCCTCTGCAAAAATTCAAAGGCACTATACTAAATAGGAGATGGGAAGGTCAGGAATTCAAGAGCATAAATATCTCGTGTCTTTACTATCATCTGTGGTAGGTATTACTGTGGGAGACATTGGTCCCAAATTTGGTTATGAAGAGATGGATAATGGCTACCTGAAGATGGACAACTATCGTATTCCCAGAGAAAACATGCTGATGAAGTATGCCCAGGTATATTTAGATAGACAACAGGAGCAGGAGGCCTGGCGTGGGGGTTGTAGTAGTTGTAGTAACCACGGGGCTGGAACAGCGAATGCTTTTAGGTGATCGTGTTTTTACTTCTGGAACTTCTTTTATTGCCATAGTAAAATCAGAAGCAGATGTCAGGATGAAAAACATGACCCAGCTCACCCTGGGTTCTCAAGCTTTTTCTGCTTGGGGCCACTGAAAACGAGATCGCCAGGCTTTGCCCCAGAGTTTCTGACTGAGTGGGTCAAAGTAGAGCCCGAGATTCAGTGTGTCAGACAGTTGGCTGGGTCGTGCTGATGCTGCCTAGGGGCCACACTAGGACTGCTAAACTGCCACTTTGCTCACAGGGGAAACACCAGTGCCATGTTCTTCTTCCAGGTGAAGCCTGATGGCACATACGTGAAACCTGTGAGTAACAAGCTGACCTATGGGACCATGGTGTTCGTGAGGTCCTACCTCGTGGGAGAAGCAGCTCGGTCTCTCTCCAAGGCGTGCACCATTGCCATCCGATACAGCGCCGTGAGGCGCCAGTCTGAAATCAAACCAGGGTGAGGGTAGGGCCTGAGGTGGGCTCAGTATTAGAGGCTGGCATTGACCCCATTCAGGTTTCCATATTCTCAAACATGGGTAGAGACGATGCATTGGGTATGCAAGATCAGCTTGGGTGGCACTGAAGGGGGCCTGCTACTTAGTATCTAAGCTTCCTTGGTTTAAGAGGAAAGATGGGAATAACCACGTGATCCCCTCCTCAGGCCTGCCAGGTAAGCACAATACCACTGATCTACAACCAGCCTTTTTTTTTTTGGTACCGGAGATTGAACTTGGGACCTTGCGCTTTCGAGGCAGGCACCGGAACCACTGAGCCAAATCCCTGGCCCCTAACCAGCCTATTTTTAACCTAAGAAAAAGGGCCCGGCACAGTGGCTCATATCTATACTGTAATCCCAGCACTCTGGGAGGCTAAGGCTGGAGGATCAAAAATTTAAGCCCAGCCTGGGCAACTTAGTGACTTAGTGAGACACTACCTCAAAATTTAAAAATAGAAGGGGACTGGAGGTGTAGCTCAATGTAAAAGCCTTGAGTTCAGTCCTTAGTCCCCCTCTATACACACGCACACACGCAAAGTTATACATTGGGTCTTATCTGAGCTTGTGTTCAAAGACCATTTTATTCAGGTATGTGGTGTGCTGCTCTTTAGCATAGCCTTCTGAGGATAAATAGCTTTAGTTTTGTTTGGGTTTTTTTGTTTTTTTATTGGAGACAGGGTCTCACTAAATAGTTCAGGCTGCACTTGAACCCACTAGCCCAGGCTGGCCTCAAACTCTGCAGTCCTCCTGCCTCAGCCTCCCGAGTGCTAGGATTATAGACATGAGTCACCATACCCAGTTTAAGAGTTTGGTCTTATGGAGAAAAAGAACCTAGACTTAAATTGAATATCTGCCACTTACTAGCTGTGTGACTTCAGACAGATTTTTTTTCTTTTTTTTTTTAGATAAGGTTTTGCTGTGTAGCCCTGGCTGGCCTTGAACTCATGATCCTCCTGCCTCAGCCTCCCGAGTGCTGGGACTATAGGTGTACACCATCACGTCTGACTCAGACAGATTCTTACCTTCTTAGCCTCCTCATCTGTAAAATGAAGATAATAATAGTAGCTATCTAACAGGATCTTTATGAGGATTAATTAAGTTAATATTTCAAAGAGTTTAGACTAGAACCTGGCATATAACAAATTCTATATAAGCATTTACTTATTATTGTTTCTTTTTCTATATGATTTAGTGAACCAGAACCGCAGGTTTTGGATTTTCAAACACAGCAGTATAAGCTCTTTCCAATCCTGGCTACTGCCTACGCCTTCCAGTTTGTAGGCAGCTATATGAAGGAGACCTATTATCGGATTAACGAGAGCATTGGCCAAGGGGACCTGAGTGAACTGCCTGAGGTACGTGTTTGGTCTCATTTACTTGGGGGCACCCTTCTGTTTCATTTTATGCATGTGCAATGCCCTAAGGAAACTACATGCTAAGATTTCCTTAAAAGAATTGGATATTGTTAGAGCTTTCTGATTGAAAGTGGATCAGATGTGAAGATAGGATTTTTAACTATGTGGGTCTTAAGTACTGTACTTTTAAAAGTGTCCAGCCAAGCGTGGTGGCATGTGTCTGTAATCCCAGCACTCAGGAGATTGAGGCAGGAGGATTACTGGGAGTTGGAGGCCAGCCTGAACTACATAATGAGAACTTGCCTCAAAAAAAACCCCCATTAAATAAATATATCAAAACATGTTGTTCAGTTGTCAGTGAACATGAAAAGGAGTGAGTATTTGCCAAGAAAAACAGCTCTGCAGTGATTTAGCCCAGTCAGGGGCCCGCTGCTGCAGTTGACATGTATGTACACTAGGCAGTGTGAGAAAGACTGGTGCCGTGCGAAGAGGATGTGTGTTTTCTCTCTGAGACTCGGACACCAAACACCACAGTTGTCCTCACAGCCTCTGCTTGTCCCCTCAGCTGCATGCCCTCACTGCCGGTCTTAAGGCATTCACCACCTGGACTGCAAACACTGGGATCGAAGAGTGTCGGCTAGCTTGCGGTGGGCACGGCTATTCTCATTGCAGTGGTATTCCAAATATTTATGTCACTTTCACCCCAGCCTGCACTTTTGAGGGAGAAAACACCGTCATGATGCTACAGACAGCCAGGTGAGAACTGGAGTGGTTTCTCCTCTGGGTTCAGATCTTTTTCACAGGATCCTGTTGCCACACTTTACTCACCACATAGATGTGTGTATTTCTCCCTGAAAAGCATAGTTCTGCTTTTGTCCTGACTCCCTGATTTTATGTCGTGGTCAGACTAGCAAGTATGACACACCTGTCACATCATCATTTCAGCAGCAGGGTTACTAAAAGCCGGTGGTTTTTAGGTTCCTGATGAAAAGTTACGACCAAGTACGATCAGGGAAGCTGGTGTGTGGCCTGGTGTCCTACTTGAATGACCTACCCAGTCAGCGCATCCAGCCACAGCAGGTGGCAGTCTGGCCAACCAAGATGGATATCAACAGCCCTGACAGCCTGACAGAAATATATAAGCTCCGTGCAGCCAGGCGAGTTTCCCCTCGATGCTGGAAGCCCCGGGGGGCTGGGGGCTGGGGGCTGGCAGGGTAAATGAGAGGAGGTGTGGCTGCTGTGGACCACTTCCTCAGATCTCTACTTTTCCTTCACTTCTTAACAGATTAATAGATGTTGCTGCTAAAAACCTTCAAACTGAAGTAAGTCACAGGAAAAGCAGGGAAGAAGCATGGAACCTAACCTCTGTTGACCTTGTCCGAGCATCTGAGGTCAGTGGTGGATCTCTCCCTCCTGCCCTTCCCATTGTTTTCTGGTCACTGTGTTGGATCTGTCCCCAGGGTTCCTCACTGCTGTTCTTTTTATCTAGGCACATTGCCACTACGTAGTAGTTAAGCTCTTTGCTGATAAACTCCTAAAAATTCAAGAAAAATCCATCCAAATCGTCTTAAGGAATTTGTTTTTCTTATATTCTCTGTATGGTATCAGTCAGAAGGCAGGAGATTTTCTTCAGGTCAGTATTCTTTTTTGAAAAATAATTACCATTATTTCACAGTTTTATATGTATTAATACCTGTCTACATACATATTTTTGTTTACTTATTTTGGTTTCTTTTAGGGAAACATTGTGACAGAGTCTCAGATTACTCAAGCAAACCAGCGTGTATTGGAGTTGCTCACTGTAATTCGCCCCAATGCTGTTGCTTTGGTTGATGCATTTGATTTTAAGGATGAGACACTTGGCTCCGTTCTTGGCCGCTATGACGGGAATGTGTATGAAAATTTGTTTGAGTGGGCCAAGAAATCCCCACTGAACAAAACAGAGGTAAAAAACAATCTTTCCACCTTCTTTAATTTTTTTTTTTGAGACAGGATCTGGTCTCTCTATGTGGTTCAGGCTGATTTTGAACTCACTGTGTAGCCCAGGCTGACTTCAAACTGGTGGCATGTGCCACCCTTCCTGCCTCTTTCCCTCTTCTGAAGGTCTTCATTTACTCTTCTCCACTGCTGGGCATCCAGTCCAGGGCCCTACACATGCTAGGAAAGTGATCTACCGCTGAGTCACTCCTCCACCCCACCGAAGTTCTTCCTTTAAATAGGAGGCAGAAAAGTTCCCTGGAAAGCAATTCTTCTTTAAAAGCCCCAAAAGCTCTGTGGCCACTTAATTTGACAGGTTCAGAAAGGACAGGGCCTGGGGATTTAGCTCAGTGGTTCCAGTGCCTGCCTCGCAAACGGAAGGTCCTGAGTTCGATTCCTGGTACCCAAAAAAAAGAAAGAAGAAAGGAGCTGGGTCATTCTACTGTAAGCAGGATTTTTTTTTTTTTGGTACCGGGAATCGAACTCGGGACCTTGTGCTTGCGAGGCAGGAACTGGAATCACTGAGCCAAATCCCCAGTGTGTAAGCAGGATTTTAATATCCTTGATCTTTTTTCTCCCTTTTTGGTCTATGGATTGAGCCCAGAGCCTTTGTACTGAGCTATATCTCCACCCCTTTAAAAAAAAAATTTATTTTTTTGATACAGCGTCTTACAGAGTTGCCCAGGCGGGACTCAAATTCACACTCCTCTTGCCTCAGCCTCTCAAGTGCTGGGATCACAGGCATCTACCACCGAACCCAGCAAATGATTCTACTAGTCAGCATTCCCATCGTTGGGACAGAATACCCAAGAACTGCACCTTAAAAAGGAAAGAATTTGTTTTGGTTTAGTGTTAGTTATTCATGACTGGTCACCATGTGGCAGTACGTCCTGACAGAGGAGAGATGCTCAAGTCATAGCAGAGAGAAAGGAGCCAGGGACAAGAATACCCCCTTCTGGGTCACACTCCCAGTGACTTACCTTTTCTAACCAGCCCCCGCCTCCTAACAGCACATTCAGCTACTAACCCCCTCTAAGATGGGTCCATTGATGATTATAAGCACCCGTGATCCAATCACTCTCCAAACACATAAGACTTTTGGGGGAGATTTGAGATCTAAACCATAACAAACTGTTTTTTTAGAGTAGGAACAATTTATTGAGAGAAAGATAGCTTCTGACTAACAGAGACAGAAGGGGGACTGGAAAATGGGATGCCCCCATGACAAACTTTTTAAAAACAACTGCAACCTGTAGTAATCCCAGCACTCAGGAGGTTGATGCAGAAGGATTGCAAATTCAAGGCCAGTCTGGACTGTGTAGCAAGAACCTGTCTCCAAAAAAACACAAGCATGCTCTTTTATATGGCAAGCTGCTCACCTATATTTCCTCTCCCTTCCCTGCAGGTCCACGAATCTTACTACAAGCACCTTAAGCCCCTGCAGTCCAAGCTCTGAAGCATCATGAGCCCCAGTGTGATCTGCCCCACAAAGCAGCTTATGCAGCTCCCCTTGCCTGATTTGCAAGTCTGCATGGACTCTCCCAGACTCGTAGAGCTGCAGAGCAAACGATAAAGTCACCTCTTTCTCTTTTATAAATGAAGAAAAAATGAACAGATTTCATAGATTAATTGAAAAAAGGTTATGTTTTAAGTGCAATTAATACTGAAAGAATTGTTAAGCATTCAGAAGAAGTTTAGGAAATACAGTATGACTTTTACTTGTAATGCTGCTGATCCTAGTAGGTCATGATGTTTGATAATTAACAGAATTTAACTACTCAGTACTTAAATGTTTTTTCTTTTTTTTCAGTACTTAATTATTTTCACATTTTAATTGCTAGTCACTGGCTGTATAAGTGTTTTTAAGCAAAGGATTTTGGGGGAGTGGAGTTGAGACAGTGTCTCACTGTGTAGCCCAGGCTGGCCTCAAACTCACAGTGATCCTCCTGCCTCAGCCTCCTAAGTGCTGGGATTGTAGCCATGGGCCACCACACCCATCTCCGGCAAAGGTATTTTTTTAAATGGGGCAGAACCCTTTAAGATTTCCTGTGAAATGACCTACCACCCATTCCAAGGGGACTGGCTCAAATGCAGAACTGAAAGGGATTGGGAAGAAACTGGTAGAAAACTTAATGTGAGTGCATGTGTGCTTACACATTTGCAGCCTTCTGCCCTCCTTTGCAGATGCGCTGCTCCTATTACAGCAGCATTTTCCAACAAGAGAATCCCTTCCCTGCAGGCCTCAGGACAGCATTTGTTGTCACTTATCACATAGCACTGTGACTCCTTTGTCTTCTACTTGAGTAGCAACATTACTTCTCTGGGACCTCAAGCAGTGGTGTTCGATCTCCTTCCTCTCTCTTTTGCCCTTTTCTGAAGCAAATATTAAAGAGTGGAGAAAAAAAATCATTCCTTATTGTAAAGTACAGTAAAGGGTGAGCCCTCAGCTATGGCACTGCTGTGATTTTGGTCACCTTATTAGCTAGATTTCCTAGGATATTCCAGATTTTAAATATTTGTCAGTTTGTCATAAGCCATTAAAATGCTTGGAGGTTACAAAGTATTTGGCCTGAAAAGTTTAAAAAGGAAAGCCCATTTGGTGGCACCCCCGCCTGTAATCTCAGTTACTCAGGAGGCTGAGGCAGGACGGTCATGAGCTGGCTGGTAGAGTGCTGGCCTAGCATACATGAGGCCCTGGGTTCAGTCTTCAGTACTGCAAAAAGAATAAAACATGGGGCCGGGTATTTAGCTCAGTGGTTCCCGTGCCTGCCTCGCAAGCACAAGGTCCCAAATTCTATCCCCATACCCCCAAAAAAGAATAAAACATTACTCAGGTCACCTTTTACACCCAGAAATAACACAGAAACACTCTAACACAAACCATGTGTTTTGATTTTTGGTTCAGAAAATATAATCATTGAAATTGTGGCTAAAGGATAAGGGAGTTCTGTAGATTGTTTCTTATTTAATATCTGGCTTTGTATAGTTCTGTGAGCATTATCTGCAGTCTCATTTACACAATCGGTCTACATTTAAAGATTAAAACACGTACTTCCTAATGAATTGTTTTCTTTAAAATCAATGTAAAACATGTCAGTTGATTTTTTTTTTTTTACCTGTTAATTGTTTATACCCATGGCATCTGCATCATGAAGCCAGTTGCACTAGAATCAGTCCTGAGAATATAGTATAATTTAGTGAAAATGATTTCTGTCTTAGCACTTGACATGAAATCTATCCCAGGGGTGCTGGTAACATGAGGCTTGTGGATTACAGCAGAAATACCGGATGGGGACACAGCCTTAATCTTCCCCCGGGAGAACCAATAATTGTGTTAAGGTTGAAGAGTATCACTGTCAGTATACACTGGCTGTACATGATAGTAGTTCACATTCTGAAAACAGCAATGTAAATCTCAATGACTTAATACTGATTGATCCATTAAATGTGGAATTATTTCAAAATTAGTGTTTAGATACTGTACTTACCGGTGAATATTTGTGGGCAGAATCTGATGATGTCTGAACCTATCTGGGATCTATCTTTGCAGGTTTGAACAAGTTGTAGACACTACAGAGCCACCTTTGATCCAGCACCTTGAGTTTTATTTAAAGACTAAATCTGACATTTGATACTAGTATTTTTATTAACATTGGAATGTTTTGTTCTGAACTTTTTTTCAGTGTAATCAGAGAATAAAGATACAGTAACACCATACTGATTTGTACTTTTGAAAGATGTCACATAATTAAATTCAAATCATGAAGGGATTTTAAATAGAGGTTTAACTATAGAGATTCTTCAAAAAACTAAAACTAGAAATTCCATTCAACCCAGCTATTCCCCTTCTAGATATCTTTCCCCAAAAAGAGTTAAAAACACCATATTATAATGATATATGCATAGCCATGTTTTTTGTTTCATTTTGAGACAGAGTCTCTAAAAAATCTTAAATGAAAAAGGGATCAAAGATGGAGAGAACAGGGCTGGGGATTTTGCTCAGTGGTTTCACCGCCTGCTGGGCAAGCACAAGGACCTGAGTTCAATCCCCCGTACCAAAAAAAAAGATGGAGAGAACAGGGATGAAAAAAGGAATTATGTGCTATCTGCACATTATCAGTTTCACACAGGAATGTAAACACGTACTAATAAAAAATTTTTAAATAGAGGTTTATTAGGTTTAAGTTAAGGTTAAGTTAAAAAGAAGACCTGCCTTTCTGTTAAAAGTGCTGCGAGTAGTATACTACTATTGAAAGTTTAAGATTTAGTAGGTGTTTCCTGTTCGTAATGAGTGGAAGTTGAGTCTTCCTCACTTATGCACTACTAGGTACATAGTGAGGTATATTTGAGTGTTTGGAGGTTAGCGACTTCAAAGCAGTTTGTTCCAACGCCTTTAGGGCCCTTCATGTTCTTGTCTGCAGAGCATAGCACTGTGAGTACCAGCTTATCTTCAGAACACTTAATTGCAACATTAGCTGTGTTCACATGCTTTCTTGTAATGCCACATTACACATGCCTGGAGGCATTTTATACTTCCTAAAAACAACATGTTCCACTGTATTTCTTAGGTTTCCTTCACTGTGGGGTTTGGCTGGAGATGTACGACTCTTCAGGTTTGAGGTTTTGGTTTTTTTTAAATTTAAAAATAACTTTATTGCCGGGGATTTAGCTCAGTGGTTCTGGCGCCTGCCTCGCAAGCGCAAGGTCCCGAGTTCGATCCCCAGTACCACCCCCCCAAAAAATAACTTTATTGTCAAACACATACAGAAATTAAAACCATTCAAAGAAGAACAATGCAAGGGAAAGAAAACTGTAATAATATTCAAATACAGTAGAACTCATCCAAAATAAAACTAAAAAGCACTTAAACATTTTTGCATATAATTTAAGACATCTCGGGGCCGGGGATTTAGCTCAGCAGTTCCACTGCCTGCCTTGCAAGTACAAGGTCCTGAGTTCGATCCCTGGTACCGAAAAAAAAAAAAAAAAAAAGACATCTCAAGTACCAACAAGACACCAGAAGATATGATTTTCAGAAAGGTCCCCAAAACCAACATTGAACAAATAGTGGTCTGGAAAAAAAACTCCAGTTAGCTAACAGACTCCACATAAGCCAAACTTCTCCCTAATTTAAATTTTGGTACAGTCATGACACACAATGGAAATACAATCAGAAATATGTTACTAGGCAATTTCATCCATGTATCTAATTACACTTTCAGTTTCTCACGCTAGAGAAACTTCAGTATTTACATGTGTCCTATTTATTTCACTTAAGAGGATGGCCTCAATATCCATCCATTTAGCTATAAATGTCTCTAGTTTCTGGTTCTTTATGGCTCAGTAGTTTTCCATTTTATAAAACCATATCATTATCCAGTCTCCAGTTAATGGGCACTTGGGCTGTTTCCAAACTTTCCCTATTATGAACTGTGGTGCTATAAACATAGGTGCACATATATTGCTGTGATATGATTCTTTTAATTCTTTTGGGAAGTTAACCAGCAGGGGAATAGCTGGGTTGAATGGGACCTCTAAGCCTAATTCTTTGAGGTATTTCCATCCTGATTTCCATAGTGGTTGTGCCAGTCTGCACTCCCACCAACAATGGAGAAGGGTTCCTTTCTCCCAACACCCCTGCCAGCGTTTGTTGTTGGATGATTTCTTTATAATAACCATTCTTTCTGGACTGAGGTGGAATCTCAGTGTTGTTGTCATCTGCATCTCTCGAATAACCAGTGATGTTGAACATTTTTTCATATATTTATTTACTGCTTTTACTTCTTTGAGAAATGTCTGTTCATTTCAGATGCCCATTTTTGAACTGGGTCTTTGAATTTGGGGGGGGTCTGATTTTTTTCAGTTCTTTATATATTCTAGATAATAGTCCCTTGTCTAAGGCACAGCTGCTGAAAATTTTTTTCCCACATTGTGGGTTGTCTCTTAGCTCTGTTGGTGGTTTCTCTTGCAGTGCAGAAGCTTTTTAATAAAATGAGATCCCAGTTGTTGATTCTTTGTGCAAGTTCCCATGCCACTGAGGTTTTGTTCATAAAGTCTTTTCCTATTCCAATGTCTTCAAGAGTTCTACCTAGCTTATCTTCCAGCAAATTTAGTGTTTCTGTCTTGATATTTAAATCTTTAATCCACTTCAATCTTAATTTAGTGGATGGTGATAGGTATGGGTCTAGTTTTAATCTTTGACAGGTTGAAATCCAATTTTTCCAACACCGTTTATTAAATTGGCTATCTTTGCTCCAGTGAAGATGGTTGGCTCCTTTGTCAAAGATGAGGTCGCTGTACATATCTGTAGTTGTTTCTGCATCTTCTAATCCACTGATCCTCAGGTCTGTTTCTTTGCCAGTACCATGCTGTTTTTATCACAGTAGCTTTGTAGTATAGTTTCAAGTTGGGGATTGTAATATCCCCAGCCATATCGCTGTTGCCTAAAATTTCTTTTGCTATTCTAGGTCTCTTCTGGTTCCAAATGAATTTTTGTATTGTTTTCTCTAGTTCTGTGAAATATATTGTTGGAATTTCAATTGGCATTGCATTAAACCTTTATAATAGTTTTGGAAGTATGGCCATTTTCACTATATTCGTTCTTCCTATCCAGGAACAAGGGATGTCTTTCCATTTTCTTATATCCTGCTCAATCTCCTTTTTCAGAGTGCTATAGTTTTCAGTGTAGAGGTCTTTTGCTTCCTTTGTTAGATTGACTCCTAGATACATTTCTTTGGATGCTATTGTAAAAGGAATTGTTTCTCTGATTTCTCTCTCAGTGAGTCTATTATTTGTATATAAAAAGGCTGTTGTAGGGCCGGGGATTTAGCTCAGTGGTTCTGCCGCCTGCCTCGCAAGTGGAAGGACCCAAGTTCAATCCCCAGTACCAAAAAAAAAATTATAAAAAATAAAAAGGCTATTGTTGTGGCCGGGGATTTAGCTCAGTGGTTCCACCACCTGCCTTGCAAGTGCAAGGGCCCAAGTTCGATCCCCGGTACCAAAAAACCCCCCCAAAAACGGCTATTGTTTTTTGAATATTGACCTTATATCCAGCTACTCTACTGAATCTGTCAATTAAGTCTAGAAGTCTTTTGGCAGAGTATTTTGGGTCTTCTATGTAAAGTATCAAATCATCAGCAAATAATTACAGTTTAACTTCTTCCTTTCCTATTTTTAATCCTTTTATTTCTTTCTCTTTTCTAATTGCTGTGGCTAATGTTTCGAGAACAATATTAAACAGGAGTGGTGATAGTGGGCATCCTTGTCTTGTTCTTGATTTTAGCTTTCAAGTTTTCAGTTTTTGACCATTTAGTATGATGTTGGCTGTTGTTTTTTCATAGATAGCCATGAAGTTTGAGTTCTTTGGGATCCATATTCTTTAGACAGTTGCTGCTCAAGAGTTTCTCCCCCCAGGACCAAGAACGTTGCCTTCAAGTTGGCTCCAGAATCCAGGGATCTGGTCTATTGCCACTCACCTGGAACACACCCCAGGCCCAACCAGCAATGCCTGGCCACCTAGGGACCAGGCTGGCAGTCCCCTCCAGACTCGCCTCACCCCAGCCCCTGCTACCGCCTAGGCCAGGCCTTTTATTTACCAATCTACTTGGGGGTCCAGATGAGGGTGTGGTTGGGCTTGAGGATGAGGTACAGAAGAAGCAAGTTCACCAGGTACTCAGTTGTGCTGCTGCAGGTCTGCATGGCCAGGAAGTCGCCAACCTCCTTGCTGCTCTGGTGGAAGCTGTAGGTGTGGCGGACCCACAGGCAGCCCTGCTGGTGGGCTCCCACCAGCATGGTCTTCTGGAAGCTCACGCCAACTCACTCCCACAGAACTAGCTTCAGCTGGCTGTCCTAATCCCCAGGTCAAGGTGTGCCACTGGGTTTGTTTGTTTGTTGTTTTGTTTTGAGCTTTTTTTTTTTTTTTGGTACCAGGGATCAAACTTGGGACCTTGCGCTTGCAAGGCAAGCACCAGAACCACTGAGCTAAATACCTGGTCCTATTTTTTGGCTTTTTGAGACAAGGTCTTCTGTGTAATTCAGGCTGGCCTCGAACTCACTCTGTAGCCCAGGCCTCCAACTTGCAGGGATCCTCCTTCCTCAGGCTCCTGAGTGTTGGCATCACAGGGCACCACTGTGTCTGGCTCTGTGCTGCTGTTGGTGACATCTTTTGCTCCCCCAGGCTGGCTCAGAGGCACCGGGCTCACTGGCCCACCCTGGCCACTGACACTGGCACCACTCAGGAAGGAATCACCCCACCAAGAAGGGTCCTCTGGCTGGGCTGTCTGTGCCCAATGATGACGGCCCTGTCCCTGCCATCACCTGAGCCCACTTGGGTG